GAGAACGAGATTCGCGATCGTTCAAATTGCAGTTGCGCCTGTAATTTGCACGAATAATTCGACCGTTTCGCGTGTAATCGTCAACAGAATGATCGTGACTTCAAATTGCTTCGAAGCGAAACGCAATGCTTACCTGCTCCGCTTATGATTGCAACAATAATTAGCCTCGCGATCGTTTCGCTTCTAATCGTAAGCGTAATTAGTGGAAATCGTGTTCGCGGACGTGATTAATACGGGACAAGTAATTAGTGTGACATTTAACTGTATTGGTCGCGATTTGTGGTTGTAATTAATATCCTTCTCTATTCTGACGTTTGATTAGCTACATTTCAGAAATACATATGTTACTTTAATTAGTCTATATGTTTCTCTTAGCGAACTCTAGAATTATTCCCAAGATAAATGTAACTTAACTTTTTCAGCAAAATTTACCGCAGAAACAACAGAGAGTTGTTAAAATATCCTCGTTCGCGATACATTGTAATTCGTTGGCCCGTTTTACGCAGCAGTGTATAAATAAACGAATGAAATAAATATTCGCGTTTATGTGTTTTGAGGAAGATCCATGCGTTTCGAATTAAGCCGCGCGATCGGTGACGATTTAAACAGAGGGGGTGATTTGCGGGGTTGGAAAGGGAAGGAATCCTCGATAAAAATTCGCTGGCTACGTGGACACTGTAAATTTTCCAGGCTCATATATATATCTCGATAAAATACGGAACACCAGCTGAATTTATAGCCAACGAACAACGTTTTCACAGTTCACCGGAGAACGTTGCTTAAAATAATACGCAAGTGTACGAACCCGATGACGCGTATGAGACTCGTTTGCGTGGTAATTTGTTTAAATGAGGGATGCTGTTCAAAGACACGCTTGATAAATTGTTCGAGGAAGTAGAATTTCTTTACTTTTTATTTCGAACGAGTTGAAGTTTAGAAGAGATTAAGAAGTAGCAAATGCTGAAAGCATTTCTGATCAATTAAGTCTTGAATTCCTGAAGCAGTGGAACTAGATTAAATTAATTTTCAGATTTATCGTTGCATAAATTTCTTTTTATTTCGAATGCAAACAGATCGGTGTTATTCTTTGCTTCCAAAGAAAGAGAAACGATGAAAACACAAATTTATGCGATGTATACTTAATTTTATAAAGTGTAATTTCGATGATAAATCAATTGGTGACATTAATTGCTCGTATTTCATGCGGCAAATGCTGGGAAAACTTGTGTAACATGCCATTAAAATCCGAAGACGCGTAAATTTATGGAACAACGGAATAAATATCTTGAGAATATTAGAAAAACTTAATAGCACGGCGATGCTGGCTTGGAAAGGAAACAAATATTCTTAGGTTTTGTAAAATTTTACCCCATAAATTAGTTTCAGATGTCAAGTTTCTAATCAGATCGGTGATCGAAAATTAAAGTGATCGATCGAATTGAAAGGATGTATGTAGAAGAGAAGAAGAAAGATTGGTGCTTCTTATGGGGTCGATATCGACGCCCCCCGGAGGATCGGCCTTTAATACCAGCCGGCTCGCGAAACACCGGTAATGGGATTTTATGGTGGTGAGCGGCGGCGTTTCGCGGTGTAAATTGCACGTTGCATCGATTTACGAGGCGAACAGTAATTTCCATCGTCTTCTAGCCGCCGAACAGAGCGTATATGCAACGCGAGTACCCGCTTGCGATAAATACGTCGAGGGAACGTGTTCTAACCAGCGCGCTAGAAAATTGTCCCTCCTAGAATTATGGTTCCCGTAGGTTTTGCATCCAACAGGATCAGGAATCACGCGCGAATTGCTTACATCGAAGTTACGCCTGGAATCCTCGTTTATCCTTGCGAAGAGGTGTTAAAATTCCGCTTTCAATCGAACATGTGCTTGTTCTTTATAGTTTCTTAAGGGGCTATACCAGTGTAACACTTTTGAAAAATCGATTTCTTTTTTGCATTTTTTGAATATCTATACTCCCTAGAATATCATATTAAAATTTTAAGGTCGAATCTCAAATAGTTTAGGAATGGCAACGTTCTAAAGAGTAACTGCTGGCATGTCAGAAACGCGCTTACCGCCGATGGAACGCGTTTTTCTCAAAACGGTATTTCTCAAATTTGCTGCAACTCTAACTCGAATACAAATTATTGCATCGACTCGAAACCTTTTCAGCGTGTTCAGTACATATTTTGCCATGCCATGAACTAGGATTTTTTTGATTGGATGAAAAATGCCAATTTGGCATTAAAAATACTACGATTTTTTAAGCTAAATTCCAAACTTTTCTTCAAAACTTCGCCATTTCGTCAGATTTTGATATTTTTCAAAAATCCTAGTTCATGGTACGGAAAATACCTTCTAGTTTAACAGCGTCTTTCTCATTTTTCATTTTAAGCACTCAGACGGCGGCAATCACTGCAGCAGTGGAGCAACTTTTTTTTTTGGAGCCCTGGAAGATAGCGTATAAGTCGCTTGTTATTTATTATTTTTGTACCAAAAAATTATTATAGATATACGACTTGTGACTAAATAGATCCCTAAAGTTTAAAAACTTTTGATGTAATATTTCTTAAAAAAAAAAATTCTCAAAAATCACCTAATTTCAGAGCGGTCATACTGGTATAGCCCCTTAAGGGGTTAGGCCATTCTAGAGCAAGAAAAAATAGGCATATTATGGGCATTTTTTTTTTAAATGTTGGAATAAATCCAAATTCTGTAAGCATGCCTTTATTTTACATCTAATAAACTTTAAAAATTAATTTTTGTATAGTGATTCAAGTGAAAATATGGGCTCTGCAGCATTTCTTCGATGACGCCTTTTTTGTAGGGCTAAACGGCCGGACCAGCAGCTCTTGCAGTTTTTAACACTAGAAGTACCGACGTTTGGTGCACACTAATTTCTAAGTTGAAAATAATACAGAAAATTAAATAAACACGGGATGAAACATAATTTAATATATACATATATCCATTCTTTATCTCGACAATAGCCAACATACATTCCAGCAAAAATATTACGATAGAATTCTATAAACTAATTTATAAATTAAATTAAGAAACTTGAAACAAGTTATTTTGTCCCCTTTGGTAGTTCTAGTGTTAACTTAGGATAATAAACCAAAATATTTTCGATTATATATGAGAACAGCTACCGAACTACGTAGGATTTTTTGAATATATTGATTTTTTCGAAAATGGCGTATTTTTTAAGAGATAATGTAAAATTTCAAGAAAAAATCGCCAGAAAATTATTTATAACGAAAGAACAATGCAATATAATGAAAAAATCCTACGTAATTCGGTAGAGAATTTAGTTTTGAATATACTGTTAAATTTTTTGATTTATGAGTCCGGCCAGTTTGAAAAATGCGGTTTCGAGAAAAATGCGTTTAAAGTTTTCAGTAATAGGCGCAGCAGACGGGGATGGGCTGCGCCAGAATTCGAAATTCGAGTACTTAGAGATTTTTTCCACCCATAATCTTTAGCCATATCATTTTTAAAACATTAAGGCACCTTTTAAGCAAAAAAAATGTCGATTTTTTCAAACTTCTAGAGTGGCCTAACCCCTTAGTATTTTTGTGTCTATGGAATTAAGCGATTCTTTATAATTTTTTATCATTCTCTTTTTCCACTAACTATGTCTTGCGGTTTTGGATAGCACCTTCCCGTGGCTCACGTTCGTTCATCCTAGTTTTCTATTTTTCTCGACCGTTTCTCCATCGTCGGAGCAAAAATAGCCTCGTTATGTTACTTGCTGCTCGATATTTTTAGCACCATTCGGAAAATTATGTAACCAATACGGATTTCGTTCGGATTAAACCGTTCTCCTCGACTGATTTACCCTTCCTTTCTCCTTAAAATTTATTTTTCATTCTTTTATTTACACAAATATATCGGTTAAATTTAGAGGTGTTTTTTCGAAACCAACAAAATTATACTATAATCTACTTAAAAATATTTGTATATTCTAAGAAATTTCAGTCGATTTGAGGAAGATATCGTCAGTTCCACACATGTATTACAATTTCAGTTGGAAAAACAAATCACACATCCCAGAAAATGATTGCGGTTTGCCTCGAATGGAAATCACGAGAGTCTTGAAAAGAAACTCCATGAAATTATTTCAAAATACACTTTGCAATTACACCGAGCAATCCTTTCTCTACGTGATATAATTTCATCTGTAAAAACTTGCACATCCATCAAAGATTTCTTCGTTCGTTATCAAAGAACAAAACATTCAGATTCCCTGCTCACAAAATCAAATAGCAAATCCTGATCATTACGTATGATGATTCTCGAATATCATCTAGCGTTGCGGTATTATACCGTTTCCTCCTCGAAGAAATATCGAGTCGATTCGAGTTTCTCGGGAAGATATTTCTTTTATTTCGATTCTCTTGGAATTCGAGGATATTCTTGAGTTTAAGCGACTTGACGGGGGACTTTATGCTACTGCAGCTAACAAAAGCCACTGTGACCAATAAAACTAAGTAGCGGCTAATAGAACGATAAAGAATCTGAGATAGTATCGTTGCAGGGTCTAAATAAGGGTTTCTTCCTTTTATGGCGTAAGGTATAACGATTTGAATTTCCTATGATTTTAAAATACAGAGGGGGGCATTAATAGCAGTCGTAAAATAACAAAGTAAATAAAAATATTATACAGGGATAGTTTTATAATCTTTACTATTTTATTTTGCCAAATAATATCGCAATCATCCTAAATATTATTTCTTCAACTTCCCAATTAAACAACCATTAAGAAACATCGTAAACTCATACTACTACTTTATTTCCTTGCAAGTTACATGAAAAGGCTTTCGCTAGAGCCGAAGGGGTAAGTGTCGAGAGGGTTGATCGAGTTGCCCGATGGATCAGAAGGAAACGTCGAAGGAACGAAGACCCGGGGCTCTATTACTTATGCAGTCTACGCTAGTATACGGCTTGCATTGCTGCACGACTGCTTGCTTACCCTTCGTAACGTGTACTTTATTCTTTCCAGATGCGCTCACGCCGATAGCTACTGGCGATTCGCTCGTTTAACAGCGTAACGGCGAGCCAGCAGGAGTCAGGGCCGGTGACTGGCATCGTGGAAGAAGAAACAGAGGGAAACAGAGACAGAGGGAGAAGGATAAAAACGTGGCTGGACCCTAGGAGGGTGCTAGAAGGTGTGTACAGTCGCTAGAAAGGATATAGAAAACGAGAACTTGATTCGTTGCTCTTTTTATTCTTTTTTTTCCTCCTTTCTTCATCGCCAAACCTTCGACGAGGGACAGAATTTATTTATATAAAGTACGATAGTATTTTATTCAACAATTTCAATTTATTTTCTTATTTCCGCTATCTCGATGCTTCGAACCCAACAAATTACCTCGCAGTTTCAAATAATTAGCAGATCAATGTCCGATACGATTTGCATCAGAACGTGATCGTAAAATAGAACGTTTATGAATCGAAATGTATTAACTGGTTACAAACTCGGGTATCATCAAGGTAACACCCTTGACACGAGGCATCACGTAGATAACGATACGAAAGAGTGTTTGAATTTTCAAGTGCGTGGCAATAACATTCCTTCCCTGTCCTGTAATCTTAGCGAAATAGCGCGATATTACCTTGGTTCGTTTACGGCCGGTAGCAGTTGGTAGCAGTTGCGTGTAGAACACGCAGTAAAGATTTTATTGCGCTAAACACACGCCGTTTCTTTCGAGCAGGGTAAAAACCAGATCCGACTAATCATTTCGAGCAGTGTTACCACGCATCCATAATTGGAAGCGTAATTGGAACCTGACCACTGGTCAGGTGAAAAGTCGCGGTTTTCTTCCCCTCAACGTCGGACACGGATTAATGCCGGGCAACTTGATGGAAAGTAAAAGGAGAAGAGCTCGAATGTTGGGATAAACGGAGGCCAAGAATAAGGGCAGAGAGAAAAACGCGTCCGGATCATTCTGAAGGTGACAGAGGGTGAGTACAGTTAGCAGAGAATTTTATTCATTCGATGACCCACGAGGGTACTCGAAAAATGTTCAGTTAATTAATTGGGGTTTTAATTTTAATTAATTAGGTACCAAGTCTTCACCGATCCAATCTGCTCCTGCTTTTACCAAAATATCACTTACACAAAAACATAGCATCGTAACAGGCTTGAATGCGCGTTAAAAGCGTTCACGCTCGAATTTCCATCGCGCGTGCAAGCGTGCTAGTAACAAACGTGCCCATGGACGCGTGAAAACGAACACGCGAAACGCTTCCTTCCGTTTCGAGCGAAAAAAAAAAAAAAAAAAAGAACATTTCCGCGCCTCGATCCTTCCTCGCGAACGCTCCGATAAAATTACTCGATCAAACTTTAATTATCTTGACGCCCGTGTATCGCTTCGATATGAAGTTAACAACGCGGTTGAGCGTGGTTCCCGAACTACAAGATGGCGGGCACAGAGAGGAAACGCTGTTAGATCGGATATCCGTTGAACAGGAAATTAGGGTAATTTCTGCCCGCTCTTGTAATTGATAGTGGGGTTGAATAATTCATCGGGGTGGGTATGCAAAACGAAAGATCCTTATCACACGGTGATTAGATTCTCGTTATTAGACTCGGTTTGTACGTTTTTCCAATTTAAAAAACATTCATAATTTTCTTTTTTCATTAAAACTATAAAAAATCGTGAAGAATCCTTTATTATTTATTTGTATTAAAATTAATCTTGATAAACACTAGGAATTCGTTATCGTTCCTCTTTTTAAATAATCGATATAATGATAAAATATTATTTCAAAGAACGAATACCATAGACACGCGTCATTCAAGCTGAAGCACGCAAAAGAAATGCAAAATAAGCGATTAAAAAAAGGTTAATGAATCACGCAAACGAGCGACGGCGTGAATTAATATGTAAAGCAGCGTATCAGAGATTTAGAACGAGTCTCATTATTGCCCATCAGCTTCGTTATCGTCGTCATTACCCTTGATCGACTGATTCCCGTTAAACGTTCGCCTCTGATTACATTTATTGAGATAATCGATCGCCCTTAGTATTATGCTAATGCACACCCTTCGGTACCTGCAGTGTTTGCGTCCACATCAATTGACGCGCCACCTGTAATTCCATCGCTTTCCGTCGCTTCTCTATTACGAGAACCACCTTCACGGATCACTGATCCGTAGACGTTCGAAGAGTGATATAGTGTTTATTGAATTTTTCTTAAAAAATTTTCCTTAAAAGGATAGATGAAATTTCCGATAAGTTTCCGAATAGCCCTACTAAAATTGGAAACTCAGATTTGGTATATAACCTAAATTGACTACCAGAAACCGATTAAAATTGGTTTCAGAGCTGGATGTCTCACCGTTTTTGAGGTATCGTGATAAGAAATTTTTGTACAATTTTGGGACTACGTATGCGCTATTCGATACTGCACATGCGCTATTCAATACTGCGCATGCGCTATTCGATACTGAACATATGCTATTCGATACTGCGCATGTACAAAACCTAATCTAATGTAATCTAATCTAACCTAACCTTACCACAATATCTCGAAAACGGTAAGACATCCAGCTCTGAAACCAACTTTAATCGGTTTCTTGTAGTCAATTTAGGTTATATACCGAACCTGAGTTCTCAATTTTGGTGAAGCTATTCGGAAACACAGCCGAAATTTCTGTTGTATAACTAAGAAGAATTCAGCAGCTTTCTCCGTTGAATAAGATTGGCAAATGTTGGAGAGGAAAAGAAAGAAGTGTCACGTCGTGGGGGCCAAGACGAGAAAATAAATAGCGTGTATCGCGAGAGGGCGGATGTCGATGGGGACGAAAGTGGGCGGATATAACCATAGAGCACGTGGCTGGCTCGCGCTTTCGATCACTATAAAGATCGAGATTTATCGCGATCGACTTGTGTTGCACCGCTTGTTCCTTCCTTCTGCTATAAATTCACCAACAATCCATGTTCGGTACTTTGAAAATTCATTTCCTTAATGTCTCGAGTCGCTTTTGTATTTTATATTTTAAAGTACCTATTATTTATCGTTAATTCACTTACCATTAAAATGGATCCCCCTAAACGAGAAAAAAGGATTACCCCCATAACGAACCTCTGAACCATCATAAAGTAGGTACAAAAAAAGGAAAAGGTGCTTTATCAGGGCTGCTGCCAAAACCACTAGAAACTCGTTTTAGAGAGGGATCCTCGGCAAGGCTCGCCGAAAACTGTCCCCCACGAAACGATTAGCCTGTTATCGTAATTTTTGCCAGGAAAATAAGAAGTCACGGAGAGTCGCAGGCTGAATAAATGGTGGGGTGGGACACATTAGAATGATTAAGGCGGGGCTTTGACTATCGTTGACACGCGTGTAAAACCGGTTATCTGCGCCCACGATGCATTATTTCGCTCTCAACGCCGGTGTTTCGCGATAACGAACCGATCTTTCTTCCAGCATGGGTCCCCGTGGTTGGGCCGTAGGAAATTAACCGAACGTACGAGGAGAAAAAGAAGCTGACCGAGAGGAGGAAGAAGAAGAAGAAGAGGAAGAAGAGGAGGAGGAAGAAGAAGAAGCCGCAGCTCGCGCGCGACCAACACTCGTAAACCGTTCAATCAAACGAGCCGGGATGAATCGTAAAGCGTGGTGCTGGTCGCGGTAGCGTTTCACAGATTAAATAGAAGTTTTTACGAGAAGGAACGAACCACCGGGAATCACGCTCGATTATTTCAAAGTGTAGAGGACATTCTACGTTGTGGGAATAATGGGGATGTTGGAATGCTTGGTAGCTGAAAGGGAAATGGGTTTGTAGATTATGAGGTTTCGGATAATGTTTCCTGGCGAATGGTACATTGCATGAGATTGCGATTCCCTTGATGATTTCTCCAGATCTTTTTATCCTTTCGAATCGTGGAAATTGTAGATTTTATGAATGAGACGTCGAGAGAATCGGGCATACTGTATAATATTTACTATGTCTCGAGATGAGTATTCTCCGTGCAAAGAGTTAATATTATCCTATACTGGGTACTTAATGTCGAACACGTTTTCGAGCGTACGTCAGCAGGGCAATAAATACGTGCTGGCTCGCAGATAAGAGCGCATTAAGCTTGAAGCGGAGCAGAAGAAACGTTTTCTAGGAGCGCATAACTTCTTCTCCGTTGTAATTCAACAGTTATTTCGCCGGCACGGCAACGAGGATAGTTAAATCATCGCGGGACGCTAGCATCGATCATGCCGAGGGCTTGTTACCGTCTCACCGTGAAACTGTTTGTATCTGTCTATCTCGCCAGTAAAGAATCTTATCCGTTCGTCCATCTACCTTCCCTATTTCAAGCTGCTACCACGCAAGTAGCGTTTCCTCGGTGACTTAAATACCTTCAACTCCCCCTAAAACACCTGAACCGTCTACGGGATCCTGCTGAGTCTTTGTGTCACTCCTACTGGATTCCGATCTGCTTTTATCGAGTTCCTTCGCTCCTTTCTCCCATTCCTTTATCGCTATGTTGGATAAGGACAGGCGAACACCGTAAACGGACCCTGATCAATCTTTTTTTATCTTGGTCGAAAGGGTTGCTTTCACTGGAAGGTGATATGGGTAGATTTTGGCGAAGCAAACAAAGGTAAATGTCTATAATTAGGGCCACAACGAGAAATCAATTGAAAAAAGATAAATGTTATGTATTCTTGCCCCCCAAATCCAAAGCTATTGATAAAATTTGGGGATCGCTTGTATTTACTAAGATATTGGGGTAAATATTGACATAAAATCATTATTTTCAAAAGTTAATGACTCTGTAGGGTAGACCGTACTTTTAAAGCGCGTCACTAACTTACATAGGTTAGGTTAGGTTATCAGAAAAAATATAAAGCCAGTCAACAATAGTCTCCTTGTTCAGTTCTAATTTCTATTCATAGAATGCACAGCGCGGAGGACGCATCGTGAGAAAATATCCAATAAAACGTGCAATCATCGTGATATCAAGATTAAAACTGGCTAGCCACGTACCACTTTTAACACTTCGTTTAAATTCACACTTTGAAGTTATTTTTTTCAAGGAGACTATTGATGACTGGTCAAGCTTTTGCCGTGAGGTAAGTTATATTTTTTCTGATAACCTAACCTAACCTATGTATGTTAAAAAATACAAGCGACCCTCAAATTTTGTCAATTGGTTGTGATAACCTAACCTAACCTATGTATCTTAAAAAATACAAGCGTCTCCCAAATTTTTTCAATTGGTTCCGATAACCTAACCTAACCCATGTATCTTAAAAAATACAAACGACCCCCAAATTTTTTCAACAGTATTGGATTCGAGGTGCAAAAATACATAGAATTTACCTCTTTTCAATTGATTTCTCGTTGGGGCCCTAATTATAGACATTTACCCAAACAAACACCCACGAGCCGGAAGTTTCATGCTGGTAGCTTTGTCGGTGAATTGTAGGAAAAGTCGGTGCCGAGTAAATTAATCGCGTGGCCCGGCGTCAATTAACCAATACCCCCATTACCGTCCATCAAAACGATATTTACGAAGATTAATCGAGCGAAGAGCGTACCGTTAATCGAATCGAAGACGGTTTTAAGGCACCGTTCACAACGCCGGGATCACCGTGAAAGGAGCGATCGTAACGCGTTACGCTCGTACATACGTAACACGCGCAGCTGCTTCCGGATGCGATTGCCGGAAGTGCTGCTTGCTACATTCTTATCAACGCGATTTATGCACGTGCACGCCGATTTATGCGATACTCGTTACGTTCGCGACACGAGATCACGTATCAAATGCGAAAAGAACATTTTCCGTGGAAAGTGCGAGATTAAAATAATAAACAAAATGATCCTGCGTTCGAAACTAGTTTTTCGTTTCTTTCTTTTTTCTTTTTTTTTTTTACAGATTCATTCAATTTTACTCACCTCTTCGTATATTTGTATTGAATTGTTCACCAATGGAAACCAGTTTGAACATCCTATAAAGTATCCTCTCAATTGAAAGGATTTTTATAGTCAAGTAGCTACATTCAATAAAACCTGTTTCTTCGTTTTCAAATGAAAACACAGACACCTTCATAAATTTCACGTCGCGTCTTTAAATCTTTCTTCTACAATAAAGATTGTCTAGGTGTTTTATAGAAAAACTTCTCCCGATCCATAAATTTCATACACATACCCGATTTCTTTGTATCACCAATGATCATCGATTCAATCGATCGCTCTGCCGCTTGTTAGCGTAATTCTATATTGTCGATCGGTCGAGTTAATTGCTATCATTTAATTACAGTTGTTCGTCACGAATCGCGAACGATTCCTAATGCTGGACGCACGATCGAATCGATCGAAGAATGACGAACGAGTAACAGTAATTTTCTTGACTGGTTCGAAGCATGAAATATACCGGAATACAGTTATGACTCGTTTCTATGTCCAACAGGGTCTTAGATGCATTGACAAACGATAATTGCAACGTGGAAGTTGAAGACGTGATTCGAAACTCTAATGCGAATATATTAGGCGAATATAACGTTAACGATGCTCGAAGAGATTAATAGGTGATCGATTTAAAACCAATCACCTTTTATAAAAAAGTTCATCCACGAATCGATCCATCCTGGATTAATTAAGTTCGATGCGATCATTGACGTGTGAAATTACTCTTGTAACTCTAAATAAAAAATCAAGGCGTTAGATTTGAAAATGAATTTGTAATATCCTTGAAGATCGTGTAAAAAAAAAAGTATATAGAAGAATCGGTGAATGAGGTACCCGGTAGTGGTCAATGAAAACTCGTACAACCGTTGCGTTGCTCGGATTAGACGGGAGTGTCCACAATGACTGTATTATAGTTATTGCCTAGTACGAACACGCTGATGACGGTATTATACTGATTGCCATTTAACATAATCACTGTCACTCTGCTGTCGAGCGTCGCGAGTACATACTGTTTCTGGAGGTTGACGACCCTTGACCCCATAGATACAGGGCACAAGTGTTTCCTGAAAAGAAGAAACAATTGTCTGTCTGATTGTCGCTTATATTGGAAGTCTCTTGTAAACTTGCGAATGATATCGTGTAGGGGAAATTGGGAAGTGTCACTTCATGCTAGTTTGCGCTGGTTGGATGTTGTTTGAACAATTGCTCATTCCTTTTACTTCAGTTCTTTCTTTTTATTTATTATGTTAGGAAAATGAAAATCAATTGCGAGGTTTGGATGTGTTTGAAGTTTATCGTTGATAATGGCTGGAAAATGCATCGGCGCGATGTAAAATAACGAAGAAGCGTTACGTGGAATCGTGTACGAGGGTTAGCCGAGGAAAGATTAGTATATCTGCCGTGATATAGTAGCGGTGGGTAACGAGGGAAACGGTCAGTGTTGCTCGCGTGTGCTGCACGAGCGGAGAGGTTCTCGCGAGCGCAAATTGGACGATGGGCTTGTGCACTCGAGATAAATAAACGCCATAGGGGGTTAGGAGGCCGCATGCGGGTATCGTGGAAGTTAGTGGTGGACGACAATCGAATAAATTTGCACGAGTCTCGATCTTTCTTCGTCCTTTGCCACCCTCTTTCCTTCACACTCCTCAGAACAGTCACTCGGTAATAATTTCTACCCAGTTTAGCATTTAGGATTATAATAGGTCCTTTTTTACACTTCACAGAAATTTCTTGCGCAATTCATCGACAGATTGCTCACTCGATCAGACGCTACGAGTTTGTCACGAATAGCTGGGGGGTACGATGAAAAAATACGATAGGGCTAATAAAGGCTTAGAAAGCGACGTTTGCCCTCGGGAACCGCGGCACGATTTACGATGTCTCGTGTATCATTATCGTATTCCACTCTGAGTACGATTGCATCGCGTAATAGAAGGTATCGTGCCATCGAACGATAATTCATAGTGATGGTAATGTACGTCACGCGGTATGAATACTATACTCGATTGATTATTTATCGATATAGCCGTAATATTTCTCGCGTGACAAAATCGCTAGAACAAGCTTTAATTTTTAAGTATTACGCGTTACACTCTAGATCTTACGAATAACTTCGAATTTATAATGGCTGTGTTTCCGAATGGCCCCACCAAAATTGAGAACTCAAATTTGGTATATAACCTAAATTGACTACAAGATTAAAGTTGGTTTCAGAGCTGGATGTCTTACTGTTTTCGAGATAATCGTGGTAAGGTTAGGTTCTGTGTATGCGCAGTATCGAATAGCGCATGCGCAGTATTGAATAGCACATGCTCAGTATCGAATAGCGCATACGTAGTCCCAAAATTGTATACAAATTTCTTACCACGATATCTCAAAAACGGTAAGACATCCAGCTCTGAAACCAATTTTAATCGGTTTTTGGTAGTCAATTTAGATTATATATCGAACCTGAGTTCTCAATTTTGATGGGGCCATTCGTTAACTTATCCTTCATAATGAAATAAATAAGAATACTTTGGTTTCGAATTTGGAGATTCCAGTAACAAAGTAATTGAAATAGAGGCAATTCAGCGTCGCGACGCCTCGCCTGCTGACACTGTGTTTACATCGTGGCACGAGCGAAACAGCGACCACGTGTACCACGCTGACACGCAAACATAAACGAGCTAAAAAAGCTTCTGCTAGCACGTGGCCGAGATTGACCCCTTATCACGCGATTGAAAAAATGTCTTCTGCTTCACGCTTGGTAAAAAAGTGAATAACATAACCAGACCTCGTGTACCTGTTTCGTGTAAGATCGTCGTTTATTTTCGAGAAAAATTGCGTGGTCCAATGACACGAGAAGCGTAAGTTGGTGCACATGCTGTTATCATATTTTGTAGCTCGCGCCAGATGCCAGACCCTTGCGGCTGGTTACTTCTCCTCTCATATTCCTGCGCGTGGATATTTTCGGAAGTTGTCGAAAAAAAAGGGTTGAGAAAGAAGGGGAACAGTCTAGTTTGTACACGGGGTTGCTTCGAGGAACACACCCCTTTTTTCCAAGAGAAAAGAAAATAATCCTTCGAAGCATTACACGGAGCAGATTGAATTAATTTAATCGTCCGTATCTGGATTTCGATCTTCCAAAGATGGTGGCGCGATAATAATTCGTCGATCGATCGAGTCCATGCAAGGATTATATTTATGAATATTCCTGCAACGATATTTCAGTATTCGCTTCTTTCTCAACAGTTAAAGATTCACACTCATTAACGCGAATCGTTTTAATCCATAAAACCAAGAGGGTATCATAATTGGTTGGTAGAGGATCGGAGAGAATTTAATCCATCGACCGGTCCGTTTGTCTTCTGATTTATCGGAACGTTTACGGTAATGTCCCGAGGGACTTTGCTCGAGTATCATCGTCGAAACGATTCTCTGTCTCGTTACAACTTCGTATTTATTCGATCCTTCGATTCCATGCTCGTTACTCTGTTTCGGACGTTCCTTTGGTAATTCCTAAGTGACACTCGTAATAATAATCGTATTAACCGTGGACAGGGGGGAATTTAATTTTGCAGTCGGAAAATTGACCACGGCCAAAGGGAGACGCGGCATACCGACTAATTTTACCTTTTAACATGTTAATATCTCAATTTCTCAAGCTTTATTACAACGATATTTTAACACCTTAATACGCCGAGCATTAAGCGTCTTACCGATCATGTGTATCAGGTTTTGGTTTTCGATTTCATACGTAACGCAACGGGATTATAAAGTATGATATTTCAGTGCCTTAATATCCTGCTTAGCTTTAAACGCTATACAGCGTTACGAGAGGTTTTAATGGTTCGATAGGTTCGCTATTAAAATTGATATTAAAATTCCTGTGTATCGGTCGCTTTGGGTATTAAGCTTTAATAATTCAATATCATATGTCCCCTAGTATCTCGATAAACATCCGACCCAGAACGTGTTCCAGTTTCGCGATGTATCAGCATCTTAATCCGCTCAGCTACAATATGTAGTAACATATCAATATCGGAAGATTGACTTCAATAAATTAGATATGTACGTCTAGATGTCTCCTGCTAGTAACCAGCTCCTGGTATCGGTACCATTAATATTTCAACCTTTCAGTCTTCGATAGATAAATACCCATAGTGTACCAACATTGCACATAATCTAGTACCCGGAACGATGGGATCTTGTTAAATCAATGTCTCAAGGGTGTGCGACTTCAGTGGTGCAATATTTCTTGGTACAGGGTAGTGAAAAATTAACGGTTATGGTTTATAACTGTACCTGAAATTTTACATTGTAGCACTATTGTTCTAATCATCGGTAGGAAAGACCGTACTCGAAAGTAACGTTAGAAATAAATCAAAAATTATTGGGAGCATTATCGCAGATTTTGAACATATAATGCAAAATTATAATTAAAATTCGTACATCCGTGTTTTTTATCCGACTTCGAAAAGGAGGATACTCAATTCGATGTGTATATTTTTTTTAAATTTTTTTAACAATATAGATACGAAATTAATATATATATTTAATAACATGACTTTTCGACACCTTAAAATTACTTTTCTTTAGTGACTTGAAATTCTGATACAAATACATATTCCTTGTGCAAGTAGGTGCTTTTTCTTTCTTTTAATCTTTAATTTGATTCTTCTGAATGTAATACTGGTCGTTAGCTGACACATTTAAGCGTATTGTTGGTGAAAATTTATAATCCAAATTCAAAAGCATGGTCAGAGACGATTGTAACATTAGCAGCCAGGATCGGTTTTAACTTTACAATCCATCCCCGCTGATACAACGTCTAGTCATAGAAGTATACTTTATAAAGTGTGAAGAAAAACAAAGAAACAAAAAAAAAACAACCATATTATCTGAATTTGAAAGAAAAAAAAATCGTAAAAACAAGAGCAAGAACGAGAATGAGAAATGTAATGATAAAGAAGATAATGAGTATTATTATCTTGTATATTTTGATGCATATATGTAGCTTCAGTAAGGCAAAGGAAAAATGAGAGCAGTGCATGGAACGTCACGATTGGACGCACGAAGAATGCACTAAACAATATGATTTATACGTCCGTGATAACTGTAAAATCGTGTAATCTATAATTAAGTAAAGCTATTGTAATTTTTTTAAAAATTTCATTTATATTCAGTTTTTTTTTGTATGAACACAATTATTTTATTTCGCTGTAAATTATCGAGGAGGTAAATGAAAAATCGTTTTTTCATTGACGACGTGTAGTCAGCAATGATATTGTGCAGATTACGTCTCTTGTTCCATTCCCGCTTTTATATTCTCACACGCACGCACATTCACACGTATCCCCAGAATGGTTTTGGGGGGTTGCAACGGTTGCAATGCGACAAAATTACCATCCGATTTCTTCGAAAGGGTGGCATCACTTTTGATGCCGACTCGTCGTCGACGAAGCAAGGCACGTAGCTAATCTTCGCCATTTCTTACATCTTCATGTTAGCAAATCCGGTGTCGACGACCGAAGGCTAAATTACCCAACGCCTAATTTCACGGTCAAATAGATGTTGGCCAAATATTACAGGACCCCCCCCCCCAAATGGCACGCAAGGATTCCGGGTTTTTCAGAACCAAAAAACTTTTTCGAGCAACGAAAGTCAATTCTGCTTGGCCTGCCATAATAGCCGCATCGCGAAATTTATTTAAATCCCGTTTTATTAAATCGGATCCCTTGACTCTTCTTACATTCATTTATTATTATAATTTAGTTTAATTAGTTATAATTTATTATAATTAGGTAAATTTATAATAATTTAGTTTAATTTAGTTTAATATTTTGATTTGTTTTTGATAAGTTATTAATTATTATTTGTTAAATATAAAGCGAAATTACTATAACTTAATAATGTCAAATAACTATGTAATATTGGTAAATGTCTACAATTAGGGCGCCAACGAGAAATCAATTGAAAAAAGATAAATTCTATGTATTTTTGCCCCCCGAATCCAAAGCAGTGTTTGAAAACTGTTATGATATCGATTCTGGTTCTGAAAACAGTTTCGAAGGACCGTTATGATCTATAACAATTATTCTACAACCGAAATTCGGGAGAATATCGGTTCCGGTTACGGTTCTAGTGCCGGTTCTGATATCGGTTCTATATCGGTTTTTTTCGGTTCTTTTCTATTCTATATCGATTACGGTTCTAATATTGTTTCTGAAATCGGTTAGGTATCGGTTCTATTTTAGTTCTATAAAAGCTACGAGTACTGTTATAATAGTATTGATTCTAATACCAATTTTATTTCGATTTTACTGTATAATGGTTAGCTGAAAAATTAGGGATAAGGTCATTTTAAAAATTAATATACATGTAATTATAGTAATTATGATTAATTTTTATTATAATTCAAACGTACTAACAATACATCATTTATTAGGTTTCCAGCCATTGTCGAGCCGAAATAGAACTGATATAGAACCGAAATAGAACCGATACTAGAACCGTAATCGAAACCGATATTAGGTTAGAACCTTTATTCTAATAATAGTTATAACATTATTTCGGTTCTCATAACTGTTTCAATTAGAACCGATATATAACAGTTTGAAATAGTTATTTTCAGAACCTTTTCAATCCTTGATCCAAAGCTATTGATAAAATTTGGGGATCGGGATACTATGATATTGGGGTAAATATCGACATAAAATCATTAATTTCAAAAGTTAATTACTTTGTGGGGTAGACCGTACTTTTAAAGCGCGTCACTAACCTACATAGGTTAGATTAGGTTATCAGAAAAAATATAAAGCCAGTCAACAATAGTTTCCTTGCTCAGTTCTAATTTCTATTCATAGAATGCACAGCGCGGAGGACGCATCGTGAGAAAATATCCAATAAAACGTGCAATCATCGTGATATCAAGATTAAAATTGACTAGCCACGTACCACTTCTAACACTTCGTTTAAATTCACACTTTGAAATTATTCTTTTCAAGAAGACTATTGTTGACTGAGTTATATTTTTTCTGATAACCTAACCTAATCTTAAAAAATACAAGCGACCCCCAAATTTGATCAACAGTTTTGAATTCGAGAGTCAAAAATACATAGAATTTAACCTCTTTTCAATTGATTTCACGTTAGGGCCCTAATTGTAGACATTTACCGTAATATTTTAGTATAACCATTTTTCTTGTAAATGTAATAGTTTT